GGGTGTGCGTTCATCAGAAGCGAAGCTGGGACTTGCGCCCATGTGAGGTGCTAGGGTCCCCAGCGACAGCTTAACAGCTACCATGCAGTGCTCGCCCTGGGAACTGCCACTTCAGTCTGGAAGTGGAAAGCGCTGAGAACGTACAGTGTGAGAAAGTTTGCTTACATGTGCAAAAAAAAAAAAATGCTTGGAAAATGTTTTTTCAGGTCTGCATGCAAACATTCTACAGTGAGGGCAGGGAGAGCAGTGTCTCTGTAAGATCAGCGAGCCGTCAGAAGACCTGGGAAGCTCCTAACACCAGCACCAGCGTCCCCACAGCTTCCCTTGCCTGCTCCCGCTGGGGACGGGCCACCTCCCCTCCTCAGAACAGCTCTCATGCCCTCTGTTTGTAACCTGAAAAATAAATTTTGGGCTCCAAAGTATCAAAGAAAAAAAATCCTTGCAAGACAAAAATTCAATATTTTATCCCGTGTCTGCAAAAGGCACCATGTCAACTTCAATAATGGCGAATGGAGCAATTTAACTCTTGCGTATTTGATGACCAAGAAATCATCTTTAATCAATTATTTTAAAAAAATAATTAAAAAAAATCAACTCCCTTGGTTCCTTAAATGTAAGAATGAGATTTAGTGTGTCGTATGGGTGTACTCTGATGTTCCAAGTGGTTGTAGGGCTGGGGCTTCCAGGGGCATCAGCACCCAGGATCCGTGCAGGTCGTGAAACCTGCCCACGGGCTGAGATTTTTACATAATCCTGTACGTCTTCGAGTCTTGTCACTCTCCTCTGCAAGCCAATGGCAGCTGCCCAGATTTCATCCTAAGAGCTGTATCGCTCCAACGTTTCAAATGGCGGTACCACTGGGAAGACTTCATCTGTTGCTACCCTAAAGCAGGTGTTTGTAAACTGCGATGTGCAGGAGAATCACTTAGGAAATCTTTTTTATGCATATTTTTGGGCTTTGGAAACCAGACTTTCTGATCCAATCGATTTGACCCTAGGAATAGACTTTTTCACACTCCAGGCATTTAGATGTAGGTAGATCCATGGGCCACACTTTGGAAACACAGCTGTTAGCAAACTGGGTTTCTGGAGAAAGCTGGTTGAATAATGGCCAGTGAAATTCAGAGTCATTGCTGAGCCGGATGGGGGTCGGCCTGGACTAGGGTCTCCCTTGCCAATGACAACTGCCAGAAGCTTGGGTGTGGCCCCAAATCTCATAGCCTCTGCATGAATTTCTTGCAGTCAAAGGTAGTCAGGTGTTTCCAGCGTTCAGTGTTTCTCGAGGTCAAATGCCAGTCTCCATCAGCAGGGAGCATCCTGTTTCTACCTGCTGGAAGTTTTGCGGCATGTATCTGAATCTCAGTATTGTGGAATCCAGGATGTCAGAACACAAAGGTCGGGAGAATCCAATGTTGTGGTTTTCCTAAGATGGGAAGTTCATTCCTTCTCTCTTTCTCTTTCTTTCCCTTCCTCCCTCCCTCTCTCCCATCCCTCCCTCCCTCCCTCCCTTTCTTCCTTCCTCTCTGTCTCTCTCTCTTTCTTCCTTTCTATTTTAAAAAAGATTTATTTATTTGAAAGGCAGAGTTACAGAGAGGCAAAGGCAGAGAGAGAGAGAGAGAGAGAGAGAGAGAGAGAGAGAGGTCATCCATCCACTGGTTCACTCCCCAGATGGCCGCAATGGCTGGAGCTGGGCTGATCCAAAGCCAGGTGACAGGAGTATTTTCTGAGTCTCCCATGCAGGTGCAGGGGCCCAAGAACTTGGGCCATCTTCTACTGCTTTCCCAGGCCATAACAGAGAGCTGGATCAGAAGTGGAGCAGCCGGTCTTGAACCAGCACCTGTCTGGGGGCACTGCAGGGGGCAGCTTTACCCGCTACACCACAGCACTGGCCCCAAAGCTATACATCACCTATCCATGCCCATATGATGGGCAACAGCCCTCAGTGTTCCCAGAGGTCAAATTGGTGCTTTCCCTAAGTCTCCTTTGGAAAGCAAACCTATGCTTGGCTGTGCCATGGACGACAGCTTGTCTCTCTGGGCACGTGCTGGTCTGTGTCTCCGTACTGGAGAGACACTGTCCCGGGGTCTTGGGAGGAGGATGGCCCTGGAGTCAGGAGCACAGGCTGCATCATCCTATACATCCAACCCACGCAGTGGCTCGGCTGTGGGCAAAACCTTAACTTCTCCAGATCGCCTACTAACGGGCTGGGGGATTGGGAAGAACTACTTATTGGGGCTGCCTGGCAGGGTTTAATCTCCTCCAGAGTCACTGGTGTAAAAACAGCAAGCTGGCATCCTGTTCTCCACTCTGTTTGTCTGTATTCTCCAAGGGTCAAGGCAGCCTTTGAATGACTTCTCAGCCAGGGCTGACAGAAGTGGATGTCATTGCATGAACTTTCGAGTCCCTGCACCTGCTGAGGGCTGGCCTGCTGGGCAGGGCTGGGCTGGGCTGAGCTCAGCTCCCGGAGAAGTAAAAGACACAGAGGGAAAGATGAATAGGCTGGGCTTTCCAAAAGCAATCATCTTGTGCGGTTATCAGAGCATTTACATTTAACATCCTCATGAAAGGAGCAGAAATTACTGTCCCCCCCATAAAAAAAACACACACACACACACACACACACACAAAACATCCCAGGATTTATATTTGCCTTGGGGTAACTTATATGACATCAGAGGAAGGGTAGCAGATTTTCTTTCTGGGTTATTTTCTGCACTGATGACTATTAAAATTTACAGCGAGTCCCCGAGTGTGCAGCAGCTCCCGGGCTGGGCAGCCAGCCCAGAGGCCCCAGGATGTCTTGGCTTGAGGATGCAGTGCGTGAGTATACACAAACGGGCAAGTTGACTTTGGTTTTCATTTGGCAAACGCGTGACAAGGCCTTGCTGCTTCCTCCAGCAGCCAGAGAGTTTCTGTGTGAGCCAGCAACGACAAGGTAGTGACTCCCACTGCAGAGGGACACGCAGCAGGTGGCCCCGCTGTCCTGCATTACCCGTGAGCCCATCCCGACAGCCGGTCCTTTACAACCTAGTTGAGAACCTTCAGGCACTGTTGGTCAGCTCACCAGACAAAGCCCCACCAGCTCTCTGCCGGTGATCAAATCTGGGGATCTGGGCATGGGCATTGTGGTGCGGCAGGTTTTGTCTACATTGGATTTCTGGTTGGAGTCCCAGTTGCTCCACTTCCTTTCCAGCTTCCTGCCAATGGGCCTGGGAACGCAGCGGAAGATGTTCCAAGTACTTGGGCCCCTGCACCCCACGTGGGAGACCTGGATGGAATTTCTGGTGCCTGGCTTTAGTCTGGCCCAGGCCTGGCTTTTGTGGGCATTTGGGGAGTGAACCAGTGGATGGAAGATTCCTCGCCTCCACCCTTCTCTCTGTCTCTCTCTGTTGCTCTGCCTTTTAAAGAAACATCTAAGGTCCCCTGTACCCCAACAAAGTTCCGTAGCAAGAAGTACGCTATCTGATTCAGTCCCGTAATTTGCCCAGCAGCAGGACAGCCATTTCTTGAGGCCTGCTAACTCCAGCCTCCCACCAGCCAGCCCAGGGTCTCACGCGAGCAGATGTGGCCAGGGGAATGCTGGGGGATTCTTCAGTGTACAGTCTCAGCTGCTTGATTTGGGACACACATTGGATCTGGGACGTCAGCGACTCACAGGTGAGATGGAGGACAGTGTAGCACCTACTCTGATGGCTTCTTGCAAGGATGCAATGAAAACACATGGAAGGCACCTGGCGACCATTGCTGGGTGTCCAGAAAACAGTAGATCAAAGAACCTTTCTGCCCATATGTAGCATTCCTTAGTAACAACTCCTCCTATTCGAGAACACTCTATTTTCTAGCTTTCTAAAATCTGGGAAAGAAAAAAAAAAAAAAAACAATTGGCAGTCTCAACAGAAACCTATGGCAACCTTGGGGATATCTATACCATGAGATGCTTGCCCCCACAAGCGGAATGAAACCTACAGGTGAGGGGCCGGCATTGTGGTGCCGCAGGTTAAACTACCGCCTGGGCGCTGGTTCCAGTCCCGGCTGCTCCACTTCCGATCCAGCTTCCTGCTGCTTCAGGAAAGCAGTGGAAGATGGCCCAAGGGCTTGGGTCCCTGCACCCATGTGGGAGACCCGGAAGGAGCTCCTGGCTCTGGCCAGGCCCAGCCCTGGCAGTTGTGGCCATCTGGGAAGTAAACCAACAGATGAAAGATTCTGTCTCTCTCAGTGGCTTTCAAATAAATAATCTTTAAAAACAAACCAACAGGGGGCCGGTGCCATGGCTCACTTGGTTAATCCTCCACCTGCGGCGCCAGCATCCCATATGGGCGCCTGGTTCTAGTCCCGGCTGCTCCTCTTCCAGTCCAGCTCTCTGCTGTGGCCCGGGAGGGCAGTGGAGGATGGCCCAAGTGCTTGGGTGCCTGCACTTGCGTGGGAGACCCGGAAGAAGCACCTGGCTCCTGGCTTTGGATTGGCGTAGTTCTGGTCGTAGCGGCCATTTGGGGGGTGAACCAATGGAAGGAAGACCTTTCTCTCTGTCTCTCTCTTTCACTGCCTAACTCTATCTGTAAAAACAAACAAACAAACAAACAAACCCAGGTGAGACCCAACAGGCTGTTCTCTCCAGCAGAGAACGACTAACATTCATTGCCATATCTTAGGTGAAATACATTGGCTTAAAAAAAAAAAAAAGATCATAAGATCATCCCTTTGAGTAGGTTTGAGTGCAAGCAGCTGGGAACATCTCCTTGGCTGCACTGGACCAGAAACCAGGAAGTCAGATGTGTGTGGGTCCTGAAGCAAACACTGGCTCTTGGGTTTGCTACTCGTCTGGATTCTTTGCTGGGAGCTGACGTGTGCTTGCAGGAGCAGACTCCTACAGGGCAGAACACGCACCCCTTCCCTCCCACGGCCCCTCAGTGGGCCTCCAGGTTTATCCCAGAGCCAGGGTTTCCCAGTGACATTCATAATGACAGAAATAGGCACCAATGCCAAACTTCCAAAAGCTCATGCAAGAGGAATTAAAGGATGTGTTTATTTTGTTGCAAAAATTTTTTTGAAATCAATGCATGGATTTTTTAAAAATAGTACACATTGTTTTTTTTCATTCTGTGATGATCCCGCATGTGTCCATCAGAGTGGGCACGCAAAGGAAGAGCTAATTTTTTTTTCTTAGACAGCTTATAGTCTGGGAAGATAAAATGACCAGCTGCTACAAATACTGTCTATTTGAATCCTGTAAGATGATTCCAAAGCCATAGGCATGATTATTCCCCAGTAGAATCGAGAGGATTTTCAACGTGGAGAGAATCTCGTGGAGACTGGAAACAATTCGCCTCGCTTGAGCAAGTGGAATTGACTTCTTCCTTGGAGGTCATTTCTGGCCTGAGTCAGGCTGGCGTCACGCCCTCATGCCCCAGCTACTCCCTCCCTCTCTCCAGGGAAGGGGGTCCCTGCGCGTGAGCTTCTGTGACATGTCTAGCCAATACCAGGCTGTGTGCATAGCCGGCTCCCTGCTGGTGCTCCCGGGCCCACCACTGCAATGAGCAGAATGGCTGTCCATCCATGCCACACGCCGTGCAGCCACTGTCAACGTCACCAGGGCAGGCCACCTTTGGCTACGATCGGGAGGCCGCAGTGGTGGTGGGTGGGGATGTGAGGGAGACGCAAGGGGGCGCTATCCCCTCCTCCGCTCCTCTGCTGATGCCGACTCAGGGAGACCAGACGGGTTTTCTCTTCTCGATGAAGGCTTTGATTCCTTCCTGCCCATCCTGCAGGCCCAGGTTGTCCACCATGGTCTGGGAGGCAAGGTAGTAGGCCGTTCTAAGGTCCTGGGGCAGCTGCTTGTAGAAGGTGGCCTTGCCTAGAGATACCACGGGCCGGCTCAAGGAGGCGATCTTTCTAGCTATTCTCATGGTCTCTTCTTCCAGCTGCTCCTCCGGCACCACCTTGCTGAGCAGCCCGTGGAGTAAGGCCTCCTGGGCGGAAATGGGCTCCCCGGTGAAAAGCATCTCCAAGGCAACCTGAGGGCGGAACACGCGAGGGGGTTAGAACTCTCTGCTGCCACCCGCGGGGCCCCAGCCCCAGGCAGCTCGCTCCATCTCCCTCTGCTAAAAGCGCGGCCGTAATGACTGCACCACAACCTCAGCCCGATGCAGTGACGGCGGGTGCCCTGGTCCTCACCGCCCTGGTCCCTGCCGGGGGCGCGATCAGATCTTTGCAGGAGCCAAGAGACCGGAGGCCACTCTGTCCCAGGCAAGGGATTGCCTCCGCCACGTTTAGGGGGCCAGGGCTCCACCCATCGCACCGCAGCACCGCGGGGCTACATGGAGCCGGGAATCATCCCGTCCCTGATGTGCTAGAGCAGCCTGGTGGCCTGGAGCAGACGGCAACGGGGAGAACATGCTGTGATTTTCATGTACAAATGAAATAGGTCAGAGGGGGCAGGGAGGTCGTGCCTCCTCCTGCCCCCTGGATTTCCAGGCCACAGGAAGAGAGCGGGAGTTTACCTTCCTCACTCTGCTGTTGCTCTAGCCTGCCGCTGGTCACGTGGTGTCCCTCTGTAACTCCGGGCAGCCCGCCTTGTCTGGGTGCAAAGTGACAACCGATAGGACAGCTCTCTCTGTACTTGGGGACACAGGGCAGGCAACTCTCCTCTCCCTCCACCCCCTCCTCACTCTCTTGTGACCTTGGTGACAGCTCTGCCCTTCCTCCAACTCGCCAAGTGCACTGTCGCCTCGGGGGCCTGGTGCTCGATGTCCCTGTGCCCAGCCCTGCTCTCGCCCTGGGGGCACCGCTTGGCTTGTGTCCCCATCACTCAGTTCTCTGCTCAGGAGTCCCCTTACCAATGAAGTCCTCCACGGCTGCCCTATTAAAAACGGCAAACTTCCCTCGTCAGCTCCATGTACATTCTTGGCCCTGCTCTGTGCTGTAGAGCTTGCTTTTTTTTTTTTTATAGAAAGCTTTTATTTAATAAATATGAATTTCATAAGTACAACATAAACAAGAGGGGATCACTGTTGATGTTTTGCTCGCAGGAGAGAAGCTCAAGGGACTTGAAGGGAGGCGGTTAGCTTCCATCAGGAGGAACTCATCCATTCATTCACAATATTTACCTAGAGAACCTACTACGTGCTATGGACTCAGTGCTGTCTCTCCACTCACTGCTGCTGCCCCCTTAACCCCCGGTGTGACTGTGTCTGGAGAAGGGGCCTGGGATGGGGTGGGGGGATAATGAAGGTTGAACAAGTTCATTACGAGTGAGCTCAGAGAGATAGGATCTTTGCCCTCATAAGAAGAGGCACGAGGGCTTGCTGTCTCTCTACCACAAGACACAGTAAGGGCCGGCGCCGCGGCTCACTAGGCTAATCCTCCACCTAGCGGCGCCGGCACACCGGGTTCTAGTCCCGGTCGGGGCGCCGGATTCTGTCCCGGTTGCCCCTCTTCCAGGCCAGCCCTCTGCTGTGGCCAGGGAGTGCAGTGGAGGATGGCCCAGGTGCTTGGGCCCTGCACCCCATGGGAGACCAGGAAAAGCACCTGGCTCCTGTCTCCTGCCATCGGATCAGCGCGGTGCGCCGGCTGCAGCGCGCCGGCCGCGGCGGCCATTGGAGGGTGAACCAACGGCAAAGGAAGACCTTTCTCTCTGTCTCTCTCTCTCTCACTGTCCACTCTGCCTGTCAAAAAAAAAAAAAAAAAAAAAAAAAAAAAAAAAAAAAAAGACACAGTAAGAAGGCAGGAGTCTGCAATCCAGGAGGACAGCCCTCCCTGGGAACCAAACCAACTGGCATTTTGATCTTGGACTTCTAGAATAGTCTCTGTTGTGTAAGCCACCTAGTGGTCAGTATCTGTCATGACACCTGATCTGGTTAAAACACACAGGAGGACTTCGGGTTGTAACTTAGTTCTTGAGCGACTACACACACACAGGCACACACACACAGCTTGTAAATCCTGGAACTGAATGACTCTGGGAGAAATTGGAATTCTGACGCCTGAGATGAGGGAATGGGGAAGACTCTGACCTGGTAGGGAGCTACAATTAAGTGATCTCTTATATTCTCATCTATGTAAAAGATTCTAACATAATTGGAAAACCCCTGAGAAATCAACAAAAAGAAAAATGAACCTGAACTAGAACAGGAGGGGTTCCATTTGGTCAGAAAAGGTATTTTCCCCCTTCGGTCTGTCAGTCAGTCGGAGAAAGACAGGTTGCCAGATATCCAGATGGAGACACGGAGACAGTTGGAACAGGAGAAACAGTCGCAGAGTCAGGCAATCATCAGCAAAGCCCCACCCCCAAAGTCTGGGCGGGCGCTTTGGCGCATTCTGACATAGAAAGGTGAGCAGATCCCATCCCTGCCTCCCCCGACGTGACCGATGACTGCGTGGCCATGCACGCTGCCAGGCCTGGGAATCGCCCCACGTGGAATCATTTTAAAAGGTGAAAGACACTTGACTTTCTGGAGCACTTTGGATGCAGCCTTGCCTCGGGCCTGGTGCGGGACCTGCTCACTGGCCGCGCCTTTGCTCTTGGACTCACTGTCACTTACTTTTGGCGCAAGCCTCTTTTTACTACCCCTTAGACAGGGCTCACTTCCAGGGAAAAGGAATCCTAGTTGTTAAATAGTAGGGAGTTTTATTGAAGTCTCCCTATGCACCCTGAGTGAGTTATGATGAGATACCTCAGGTGGGCTACTTTATCAGGAAAAGGGGGTGTCTTATTATGATAAGGAAAAAATCCCGCATTCACGTGGGCATGGTGTCTTAATCCATTCAGGCTTCTATTACAAAATGCCATGAAAACAAGCTGGCTTATAAACAACAGGCAGGCAGTTCTCACAGTTCTGCAGGCTGGCAAGTCCAAGGTCAAGGTCAAGGGCGCCAACAGATTCAGGCGCTTGTACACAGACAACTGCCTCCTGTCATGTCCTCACTCTGGGGGAACTGGGACAAGGCAACGCTTTCCTTGTTTGAGGGACTGATCCCAGTCCCAAGGGCTCTACCCTGGTGACACCATCACCGCCCAAAGTCCCACCTCCTCACACCATCCCCTGCCTGGGAGGTGGGGTGCAGGTTAGGATTTCAGGGTATAAATTCCGGAGGACAAAAGCATGCAGCCCCACAGCACGTGGCGCCTGTCTCCCAGGGAACTTGAGCAGACCGTGCAGAGCTGCATCAAGGACAGGGGGCCAAGATGGAAAGATGAGGTACATGCACATGCACACGCGTGCTCCCGATACATTGCAGCTCGGTGGTGTCTGAGCACGGGGCGGGGAGCGCCACAGGACTGATGTGGCTGGGAACGTGAGACAGGCATGGAACCATTCGCCAACTGGGCTGCCGGGCCATCCATGGCTGCACTTCGCAGACCCTGGGGACACACACACACACACACACACACACTCCCCTGCCGACAGGCAGGGGGGTGGGTCTGAGACTCTGCACTGGACCCACTCTGAGCCCCAAGGCTCTCACTGCTTCTTCCCTCTTGGAAACGCAAGTCTGTTGGAATTAGATGATTAGGAAAGCAGATCCTGCAGTGTGAGTGAGTGACTATGCAAGATCAAATGTTCTCGATAACTGGGAAAGAGCTGGTTTGGGAAGAAAGGGATTCCGATTGCTTTATGCGCTCGCCAGTTTCACCAGTGGCTTGAGGCACTGGCTCTGTTTCTGAGGAAGGGAGCAGCTGCACCAGATGGGGTGTCTATGTGGTGCAATGAAGATGCACTATTAACTCATGAGAAGCACTTTAGAAATGGGGAAAATAATTCAAGCCTGGCTTCAGGCTTCTGCCCTGGTGTGGACAGAGTAAGTCTTGCTGTAGAGCTGAGCAGATCCCCAGGGTGACCAGCAGAGGGCACTGGTGACCCACAAATGTTGTCTTCACCAGCTGCTTTTGTCCAGGCTGTTTGCAAAGACAACTGCTTGCTTCCCTGTGGGTGCACAGTGGGGTGCAGGCCAGTCACCCACACGTGCTTGACGGGCCTGTGCGTGGCTGTGCTTCTACGCCTACATCACTGTGTCCTGGGTCCCGTTTAGATTTCTAAGAGTCTCAAGTTTTTCCTCTTAAAGCAGCCTGCACAGGTCAGATCTATGAACCCAGCCTGGTCTTGTGTTCCCACAGACTTTTCTCCTACAGAACTCCCCTTGCTATCAGGGACTGTGGTTCTGCTCCTTCGTGTCAACCTGAACCGAATCCCGGCCCGCACGGAGCCCGGCCTTAATGAGCCCAGTGTGTGTGTAGGGCCATCTTGTTGACAGAACTCGGGGCCATTTTCAGGAGGCCAATGACTCAGAGGCCTTCTGGGGGTTAGAACAAGAGGAACAGAGACCAGGGACCTGAGCAGGGTGGTCTAGAAGTTTCTTTGCCCGTCTCCTGAGAGGCCTGTTTCTAGCCAAAACTGCCTTAGCGGAGGAAAAGTTTCTTTGGCTCTTATAACCCTCCTGCCTCTTACCCTGTCACACAGGCTAATCACTCCAGGTGGTTCTGGGTGTTGGGCTTCTTTTTTTTTTTTTTTTTTTTTTTGACAGGCAGAGTGGACAGTGAGAGAGAGAGACAGAGAGAAAGGTCTTCCTTTGCCGTTGGTTCACCCTCCAATGGCCGCCGCGGCAGAAGCCAGGTGCTTATCCTGGTGTCCCATGGGGTGCAGGGCCCAAGCACTTGGGCCATCCTCCACTGCACTCCCTGGCCACAGCAGAGAGCTGGCCTGGAAGAGGGGCAACCGGGACAGAATCCGGCGCCCCGACCGGGACTAGAACCTGGTGTGCTGGCGCCGCAAGGCGGAGGATTAGCCTACTGAGCCGTGGAGCCGGCCTCCTTGGATCTTAAGGCCTGTTTTGTCACACGTATTCCTCTTGGTTCTCAAAACTCACGTAATGTTTGATGAGTAAATAGGGTATGGGGTTGAGTTTCTAGGCGTCAATCCTAATAAGCCTTGGTTTCAAAAGTTTGCTTCCTTCCCCGACAGTGGGGCCCACTGCAGGGTTCTCACTGCCTTCCTGGGGAACCTTCCAGCAGGTCAGTGTGAAACGGGGGCTAAACAGCCTCTGGGCAGGCTGCCTGTGGCCAGGCACAGGCACCACGACCTGATCTGCAGTTCTAGGGCAGCTGTGACAATAGATTGGCAGATTCTTTTAGTTTTACGCGCTGGCACAACGGAAGGACTTAAGTTACCGGGTGAATACCTACAGGTTCATTCAAGGTAAAGATCTGGATGGAATCCAACACGCCCCCTTGATGTGAAGACAGACGTCTTAGCAAGCAAGTGGTCAACTTCTGCAGTGTGGGGAGCCCACTGCTACCTGGTTTCTATAACCGTGTGAGCTGGCAGGAATCCCTTGCAAACACGTGTCTGTCAAAGCACTGTTACAAAGTCATCGTACAGCAAAGGAGGACTTGCCGGTGCTTGGTTTTCCTTGGCTCTCATCTCTTTTGTGCCGTAGGTATGCTGGGCAAAGGCTAATTTTCATAGCTGACGCTAACATAGGCAATATAGATTCCCTATGACACTGCCCCATTTCTACGGCTTTCCAACTGGGATTGAGGGTGCACTTGCTCTAGAACAGGGCTGGCGGACATCTGGGCCCCGCGGGCGGTTTCGGTGCTCGTGAAATCGTTTGGTCTGGCCCCGTCAAAGCAGCCGCAGGTGGGACTCCAAAAATTCAATACGTCTACAGCGGCCTAATTTTTAAGTTGATCTTTTTAAGTGGCCCACGAATGATGTTATAGATATCCAAAGGGCCCTTGGCAGAAAAAAAAGGTTCCCCAGCCCTGTTCTAGAACAAGGAAAGGGATGGGTGACGATCAGGGGTGTTCAGGATGTTGTAGGAAGGAAGAAGGGCCTGTGACGGACAGGTCCTTAACAGAGAGGAAACGCCTTTGTCACGTGGCTCCTTCCTGGGCAGATTCAACGGATGAAGCACAGGACCCTCCGGTCGTCAAATGCAGCCATCCTAAACTTAGACACGCAGTCCATCGGCTGCTCAAAATCTCTGGAACATGACGGGTCGCCGCCACACAAGGAGCCAGCGACACTACTCTCCGGCTCCTTGGTACCTATGTTGTCAACAGGCTATGATGTCTCATGGGCGACTGCTCAGGGCAACAAAACGCAGTCTCCATTGTGTTTCAAATCAGCTTATGAAAAATCGCTGCCTGTCTGAAAACAAATAAACAAACAAACAAAACCAAAACCTAATGAGTTGCACTATGAGGCATGAAAGATGAAAATAGGGTGACTTCTGAGGCTGGCACTGTGGTACAGCGGATTAAAGCCCCCAGGCTGCAGTACCGGCATCCCCTATGGGCACCGGTTCAAGTCCTGGCTGCTTCACTTGTGATCCAGCTTCCTGCTAATGTACCTAGGAAAGCAGTAGAAGATGGCCCAAGTGCTTGGGCCCCTGCATCTGCATGGGAGACCCAGAAGAAGCTCCTAGCTCCTGGCTCCTTGCTCCAGACTGGCTCAGCTCTGGCCATTGCTGCCATTTGGGGAGTGAACCAATGGATGTAAGAATTCTGTCTCTCTGTCTCTCCCTCTCTCTATAACTCTGTCTTTCAAAGAAATAAAATAAATCTTTAAAAGAAACAAACTGATGTCCAGTTTAAGAAGCCATGGAGGAAAAAAAATTAAATTAAATTAAAAAAAAGGCTGGCGCCGTGGCTCAATAGGCTAATCCTCCGCCTGCAGCGCCTGCATACCGGGTTCTAGTCCCAGTCAGGGCACCGGATTCTGTCCCGGTTGCCCCTCTTCCAGGTCAGCTCTCTGCTGTGGCCCAGGAGTGCAGTGGAGGACGGCCCAAGTGCTTGGGCCCCTGCACCCCATGGGAGACCAGGAGAAGCACCTGGCTCCTGCCTTTGGATCAGCGCAGTGCGCCTGCAGCAGCGCACCGGCCGCGGCGGCCGTTGGAGGGTGAACCAATGGCAAAGGAAGACCTTTCTATCTGTCTCTCTCTCTCACTGTCCACTCTGCCTGTCAATAAATAAATAAATAAATAAATAAAGAAGCCATGGAGGAACTGGCTTCTCTCCCTGACGTTAGCAGGAACAGAGAGCAGGTGGGAGTGTGGCTCAGTGGTTAAGACCACTTGGGATGCCCACATGCTGCTTACTGTTTCTGAGTGCCTGGTCTCTGCTCCGATCCAGCTTCCTGCTAATGTGTGTCCTGGGAGCAGCAGGTGACGGCTTATGTAATTGGGTCCTTGCCACCCACATGGGAGAACCAGATAGAGTTCTAGGCTCTTGCCCAGGCTATTGCGGGCCTTTGGGGAGTAAAGTAGAGAACAGATCTTTGTTACTCAGTCTTTCCAATGAATTAAAATAAATTCCCTGCTCATAGCGGCACACCCAGCCACGTCTGCGTTGGGCAGAATGTCGCAGTGGGAAAGATCCTTTGGACAAGCTCATGGTGGAGCATCATTGGCCCTGCAGGAGGAAATCTACTACGCGAGGGTTGGCAGAAAGTTGTTACCTTTCTAGGCACTGCTCTCCCCAAAGCAACCGCAGGGGTGGAGCAGAAGAGCCCAATGTTCACCCCAGGCGTGGCAAAAGACGACTTGTCGCTGGCTATGGCGATGTCGCAGCTGGCAACCAGCTGACACCCGGCGGCCGTGGCCAGGCCGTTGACCATGGCAATGACTGGGACGGGGTGGTTCCGGATCAGCATCATGACCTGAGGGAGCAAACACACCCACTTCACTTCCGTCCAGGGGGAGGCACCACACTCCTGTCTGTTATTTTAGTTCGCTTGTGTGTTTCTGGAGCACTTTTGGTAGGCATTAGTACATCAGATTCCATGGAGGAAAAAAATTTTTTAAAAATTTTTAAAAAGTAACAGCGGGCACAAAAAGGACGAGGTCCCCTGGCACTGCCCCTCCACTGCCCGCACCCCCACTGAGGATGCACTGTTTATCTCTGAGGGACACACACACAACCCTGTGTTTTAAAGTCTGAAACCCATATTTGGTGCTGCCTTGAAAAAATTTAAGGTAGAAAAGGGACTTGAGGCAATTTCCGTAGTAATGACTTCGCGTTACCTCCACCCAGTGCTATTAAGATGGGGGGGGCACCCCGCTGTCATCAAAATAAACACGAGTGTGCACACAGAGAGGAGAGACCCAAGTGTGTTCCTGTGAGTCCCCGCTCACCATCCGTCTCCCAAACTTCACGTCTTGTTTTCAGCTTGGTTCTTTCCCCCCAACACTCTAAACAGACGGTGTTGCTATGGCAACTTCAATTTCTAAATGGTTGCTCTCTGAACCTTGGCAGGGAGGGAGGGAGCGGAGGAACTTTAAATCTGGGTTTCTTTTCCCAAAGAAACAATGCAAAGAAAAATGACCTTCACTGATGGGAAGGTTTTGCCTATCAAACTTCTCCTTTATATTCATCCACACTGGGTGCTTTTTAGTTGGATACCAAGATCACCAATTATATATTTAAGGGTATGGTGCTGTATTCTATGTTAGTGATTTCTGACTTTATTTTATTTTATTTTATTTTGGACAGGCAGAGTGGACAGTGAGAGAGAGAGAGAGATAGAGAGAAAGGTCTTCCTTTTTCCGTCGGTTCACCCCCTAATGGCCGCTGCAGCTGGCGGGCTGTGGCACTGCACTGATCCAAAGCCAGGAGCCAGGTGCTTCTGGTCTCCCATGGAGTGCAGGGCCCAAGCACTTGGGCCATCCTCCACTGCCTTCCCGGGCCACAGCAGAGAGCTGGCCTGGAAGAGGAGCAACCGGGACAGAATCCAGCGCTCTGACTGGGACTAGAACCCGGTGTGCCGGTGCTGCAGGCAGAGGATTAGCCTATTGAGCCGTGGCTCTGGCCTCTGACTTTTTTTTTTTTTTTTTTTTTTTTTTAATGGGGCTGGGGATGTGGTGGGGATCAGCTTTTGAGAATCTGATGAATGCCAGGGACTCTCCCCGGCATGCACATGTCTGTACACAGCTGTACACCTGTTCCCGGAACCGCTCCTGGAGTCAGGGATTTGAGCCCTTTCAGCTGAGGCTGGGGATGCGGCAGGTGACAGGGCTGGAGTAACAAGGAGCAGTCCTGCTGCAAAGACAGACAGACCTGGGTTGTCGCCCAGGGAACTGCAGTTGATGAGCAGCCAGCTGAGTAGGATTAGAGTTAAGCGTGGTGTCTGCTCTCTGGAGGGGGCGGAACACCGGAGAACCCAGTGGAAGAACACTTAGGCAGAAGAGCATCATTGACACCATTCAAAGTGCTTCTAACTCTGCTCTAGGACCTCTAAGAAATAACCTGGCATAGGTGAAGAGCATCTGGCCAAAGATGCTCGCCCAATCATTATTTTACAGCGGTTAAGGAAAAAAAAAAACCACTATAAATCATATAAATATGCAACATAAGTCAATGGCTAAGGAAGCTAAATCAGATCCAATTGATGGAATGCTGTATCCTTGCTGACATGACATTTCCCACAGGAAAGACCAGCATGCTGTCCTGGAGCTCATATAGTTGGGCCACTGGGGTTTGATACCCAGTCTGCCACTTACTTGCTACCTAACTTAATTCCTCAGTTTTCACATCCATAAAATAGGTATAATAATAGTACTAACCTTACAGAACATGACAGTTATACCAACTAGTATGTCTAAAGTGCTTACAGTATTTACCTGGCATGTTTGGTAAAGCGTTCAATGCTGTAATCACACTGTATCCTTATGCATTATAATTTCACCTAGATACAATTATCCACATAAGTAGGTGCATGAGGAAAAGGGGTTAAAGAGAAATATAGCAAAATATTAATCATAGTTCACTCTGGGTGATATGATTAAAGTATGGCATCAGTCATTTATTTTTCCTTAACTTTCCCATATTTTCAGAATTTCCTATAATAAATAGTACTTTCAATTAAATATTATATATATACACATATGTTAGGGGCAGGTTTTTGGCACAGAAGTTAAGATGCTAGTTGGGATGCCTGCCTCCCATGTCCAAGTGGCTGACTTCAAACCCTGGCTCCAATTCTAATTCCAGCTGCCTGCTAACGCGCACCCTGGGAGGCACAGGTGATGGCTCAAGTAGTTGGGTCCTTGTTCCCTACGTGGGAGACCTAAGTGCAGTTCCTGGCTTTGGCCCAGCCCAGCCCCAGCTGCTGTGGACATTTTGGGAATGAACCAGGAGATGGAAGATCTATCTCTCTGTCTGTCTCTGTCCCTCTTTCTCTCTCTGCCTTTCAAATGAAAACAATTAAAAAAAAAAAAAAAACTATGCTAGATAAAGTTAGAGAGCAGGGGACCTAGATCATAAACAAGCTAGGAAAATCAGACCCTTGTCAGTCAAGAACTGGTTTTCTTTCATATTTGACCTTCCTGAACGAAGTATTGTTTGGGTTCTAGGTACTCCAAAAAGTGACATAAAGGCCGGCGCCGCAGCTCACTGGCTAATCCTCCGCCTTGCAGCGCCAGCACACCAGGTTCTAGTCCTGGTCGGGGCGCCAGAATCTGTCCCGGTTGTCCCTCTTCCAGGCCAGCTCTCTGCTGTGGCCAGGGAGTGTAGTGGAGGATGGCCCAAGTGCTTGGGCCCTGCACCCGCATGGGAGACCAGGAGAAGCACCTGGCTCCTGGCTTTGGATCAGTGCGGTGCGCCTGCAGCAGCACACCGGCCGCAGCGGCCATTGTAGGGTGAACCAACGGCAAAGGAAGACCTTTCTCTCTATCTCTCTCACTGTCCACTCTGCCTGTCCAAAAAAAAAAAAAAAGTGACATAAATTTAATTCTGCCCTCACCTCACTCGGTGTCGTCATGGAGGGCTGAGTCAGTTCCAAAATGGAGACCTTGTCCCAGTGTCATTTCACTGGTGAGGTGTAAGAAGACAGACAAGAATCTCCTGGAGCAGAGCTCCCATCTTGAAACTTCAACAGGATCTAAGGGACACAAGGGGGCGCTGTGGTGTAGTGGGTTACACCACCCCGGGACACCCGCATCCCATATGGGTGCCAGTTGGAGTCCTGGCTGCTCCATTTCCGATCCAGCTTCCTGCTGATGCGCCTGGGAAAGCAGTGGAAGATGGCCCAAGTGCTTGGGCCCCTGCACCACGTGGGAGACCCAGATAAATCCCCTGGCTCCTGACTTCAGCCTGGTCCAGCTCTGGCTGTTGCAGCCATCTGGGGAGTGAACCAGTGGACGGAAGATCTCTCTCTCCCTTCCCCCTCTCTGTTTAACTTTGCCTTTCACATAAATACCTCTTCAAAAAGAAAAAGAAAGGAGAGAGATGAGGGTACGTCTCCAGCGTGAGCTGTCAGTGAGCACCCAGAAGGTCACTTTCACTCTTCCAGGACCAAGTTCTTCGTATCCTCATTTTTCTCATCGTCCTTTTGCCCGCCCGCCTCCTTTTTGCAATACCCACCATGACATTCCTGTGGTCTGTAACAAATTCAGGTGCTTCTATCTTGCTTGTTAAAATCTTCCCATGCATGAACTGAACAATGCAATATCGGCTCATTCTGTTCTAATCTGCTTGCTGATTGCACTTGGAAATTGAAATCTTGTACTAGTTCAAGGTGCTCCTATGTATCTGAGATAATTTCTTAGACACAGCTTTAAACAGATCAATAGCCTCTCATTCTTACTACATGAGGGCTAGGACCTGTTTTTGCTCTGAGTCTGGCCCAGTGAACCAGACTCATTGGCTTGTTCATTGATTTATTTGTCATTAATTATTCAACAAATATTTAACAACACCTGCTATGCAGAGACAGGTGAACAACAGGGAAGTGAATGGGAAGGTGATTGTGAGATATTCTTTTTTTTTAAGATTTATTTATTTATTTGAAAGTCAGAGTTACACAGAGAGAGGAGAGGCAGAGAGAGAGGGAAAGAGAGAGAGAGAGAGAGAGAGAGAGAGATATCTTCCATCCCCTGGTGCACTCCCCAGATGGCTGCAAAGGCCAGAGCTGCGCCGATCTGAAGCCAGGAGCTGGGAGCTTCCTCCGGGTCTCCCACATGGGTGCAGGGGCCCAAGGACTTGGGCTATCTTCTACTGCTATCCCAGGCCATAGTAGAGAGCTGGATTGGAAGCGGAGCAGCCGGGACTAGAACTGGTGCCCACATGGGATAACGGTGCTTCAGGCCAGGGCTTTAACCTGCTGCACCACATCACTGGCCCCCTGAATTCTTTTTTTTTTTTTTTAAGATTTATTTATTATTTATTTGAAAGTCAGAGTTACACAGAAGGAGAGGCAGAGAGACAGAGAGAGAGGTCTTCCACCTGCTGGTGCACTCCCCAACTGGCTGCAACAGCCAGGGCTGTGCCGATCTGAAGCCAGGAGCCATGAGCTTCTTCCAGGTCTCCCACATGGGTTGAGCAGCCCAAGGACTTGGACCATCTTCTACTGCTTTCCCAGGCCATAGCAGAGAGCTGGATCAGAAGTGGAGCAGCCAGGATTTGAACTGGCGCCCATATGAGATGCTGGCACTGCAGGTGGTGGCTTTACCTGCTACACCACAGTGCCAGTGCCTAAACCCTGAATTCTAAATGTTTTATTATCCAGGGGTTGATTGAATGCATTTATAAATTATCTAAATCCTTCTTCTTCCTCTGTGGCTGAGGGCAACTGTCCTCCTTACTATGGTGCAAGAGGCAGAAAAGGAGTAAAAATGAAGAGGTTAACTGTCCCACTTGGTGGGCAGGCATGTGGTGCAGCGGTTAAGCTGCTGCCTTGCCTGCCTGCATCCCATATCGGAGATCCTGGATTTAAGCACCAGCTCAGTTCCCAGTTCTGGGATTCCAGCTTCCTGCTAACGCAGATCCTAGGAGGCACAGGTGATGGCTCAAGTAGCTGGGTCCCTGCCACCCACGTGGGAGAAAAGGACGAAGCCTGGCCCAGCTCCAGCTGTTTCAGGTTTTTGAGAATGGAACCAATTGGTGTCTCTTTTTCTGTCAGTCTCTCTGCATTTCAAATAAAATTAACAGATAAATACAAATTTGCAAAAAATTTGTACTTGGAAATGGTGATGATAAAAGTTGGTTGAAAGAAGGGTCTCAAAATAACTTTGAAAATCATAGTTGTGGGGCTGGTGCTGCGGCGTGGTGAGTGGAGCTGCTGCCTGCAGTGCCGACATCCCATGTGGGTGCTGGTTCGAGACTCAGCTGCTCCACTCTGATCCAGCTCTCTGCTATGGCCTGGGCAAGCAGTAGAAGATGGTCCAAGTCCTTGGGCCCCTGCACCCATGTGGGAGACCAGGAAGAAGCTCCCAGCTCCTGGCTTCAGATCGGCACAGCTCCAGCCTTTGCAGCCATCTGGGAAGTGAACCAGCGGGTGGAAGACCTCTCTCTTTGTCTCTACCTCTCTCAGTAACTCTGTCTTTCAAATAAATAAATAAATCTAAAAAAAAAATGGTATCATATTTGCACATGACTGAAGCAATCCTCTAGGACACTTTAAGTCCTCTCTGGACCACCTAAAATACTTAAAGCAATGTAGATGCTATGTAAGTGGTTGTTATACTCTGGTGTTTAGGGAATAATGGCAAGAAATAGACTCTGTGCCTGTGCAGTGTGGATGGAATTTCTCTCGGTTAATTTTGGTCCACGGTTCCATGCCATGGAAGGCCACCGTAATCGCTCGGAGGACAGAGTGACCAGGGAGCGCAGAGTACTCAGTCGCTCTGCAGCGCTCAGGGCTCCTGCCTAAAACCCGTGAGCCGGGAAGTGAGGTCAGCATTGCATGCACCGAGCGCCGTGAGCCGGGAAGTGAGGTCAGTATTGCACGCACGGAGCGCCGGGAGCCGGGAAGCGAGGTCAGCATTGCACGCACGGAGCGCCGTTAGCCGGGAAGTGAGGTCAGCATTGCACGCACGGAGCGCCGTGAGCCGGGAAGCGAGGTCAGTATTGCACGCACCGAGTGCTTTCAGGTTTGCAGCGTCGGCTCGTCCTAGCTTACCTCGGAGCAGGTTTGAAATATTTCGGCATGATGATCCCGGCCTTGTTCTTCTGTCAGTTCCTTCAAGTCGTGCCCAGAAGAAAAGACGGGCCCCTCAGCTGCACATGTTTCCAATTGGGAAAAGAAAAAAAAAAAAAAAAAAGGAAAAGAGAGATGTCAACAGCCAGAGGTCGGACGGTTCACCAAGCTGTCTAATGGTAGAACACAAGCTGGGTCGTGGGCCCCTAGAGAAAGGGAATGGCCCACGTGGATCAGAATCATTCCGGGTCGCTTGAGAAGTTACAGCCCGAATTTCGTGATGCGGATGCAAGGCAAGGCATCTCTGGTGGCACTGGATGAAAAGATGCAGTTACGCGAGGGGGCAGCTCAGGGACCAAGGCGAGGGTACATTTTACAGGGCTTGTCTCTCCGGCCTCCCGCTTCTGCTCTTGGACTTGGCGTGGCCTGAGCGTATGCACTCGCCCAGGTCCATAAAGCCTCACCATGCCTTGGGCAAGATTCACACAGCGGTCTGCAGGAGGGGCCGAATCGGGGAGGTCAAAGTGTGTGCAATGAACCTGGGGGCCCCCTGGCTGTGGCTCTTTATTTTCCAGCCGACGGAGCTGTTGTCATTATCATTCACAGCAAAAATATCATTCCGCTGGGTCAGTAATACTCATATTTCCCTCTTGTGGTTATGTTTATAGGCAACATTATCCTCTTGCTACAAGGGGGGAAATTGCGGAGGTAAGAAGTGAGCTGTCTTCGCGCCATGCAGGTTCCCTACACGGCTGGTGGACTCTGTTAGTTCTTATCCCCTTCATCACACGGAACAGTAGGCGATGTCAGTCTAGCCACTGCTAAGAGGGCAGCGGGCTCGGTGTCTCTCCAGAAACATGGAGCCTTAATTTGCAAAACAAATGAAACAACCTAGAGTTTCATCCATTATGCTTTGCTGCAGGGGCTCCTTGAAGACGCTGGCAGTACTGTTATTTATAACACCTCCGCAGCCCAGGGAAAAGATAACTCTGTTAAAAAAAAACCTTATTGGAAAAATAACAAGGGTAGAAAGGGGCAACATCATGCCAGGATTTCTGGCACCATTAAAGAAGACACGGCAGATAGGAGATGAAAGGCTTGGTAAAAACCAGAAAAGATAAATCAATTGAATGTCCTAGCTGACGAGGTCATCTACTAAAAGGACTGATAATTAAACTCATTTTATAAGGCCCATGAGGAAATGGATTCTCTGACTTTGATGCAAAGATCAGTATCAATAAGCACGAAAAGGAAAATGCACGGATTTCACTGCTGGAAATCTTGGCTGTAATTCCCACAGTTGATAATGTTAGGACCAGCTCTCCAACGATGCACGACTTTTCCATAATTAAACACTCCTTGTAAAAGACCCTCACAACAATTCTCCAGTTAAGTGACAGAAGGCCCCTGTCAATCAAAGCATTGTGGAAACATGGGCAGTGCAGGAGCCTAAGGAGAGCTATCGGTTGGATACCTGAAATTATGATGACTCTCAGATCTTTGCTGTCGGCCTCGTGAAGAATGTCATTCTGGAGCGATGTCAGCATTGCGAGCGAAAGTGCGTTCCTCTTCTTGGGATTGCTCAAGATGATGTTCCTGTGAAAAACACGGGCTGACCGAGGGTCGTGCACCAGTCGCAGCCAGCGGGTGAGGACCCCCTGCAATGCCTTGTTAATTGGTGAGCTATTTTTAAAGCCCCACAGCACAGACCTGTGATTTCTAAACCAAAACAAGAAAAAGAGCAGCTGACATGCAGGCTGGTTTTTCTGCCTCTTCCCTTGATGAGTTTTTCCTTTTCTCTGCATTCGCTGTCAGAAACATGACTGCTACCTCCATAGCAAGGGGCACGTCTCGGCGGTTCCCCAGTCATCTCCACCCATAACAGAGGCGATGCCAGTTTCGTGTGACAGCTGCAGGAGCCAAGGAATCTGACAAGCGGGGGCTCCCTTCAAGTTAGTTCTCCCCGTTCTTGTCACCCTGATGTCGGGAGAAGGAGCCAGGAACAGAAGGACTCCCCCAGGCTCCCTCTTCCCACCATGAAGAAAAAAGCAGGCCAGGTCCGGCTGCCAATGTGCACCTGCAACAGTGTTGTCGCCCTGGTTCCTGTGGTGACATCCTGTAATTCTGCAAAGATCACCTGCTCTGAGAATGGGGATGATATGTGAAGAACAAAAGGACGAAATTATACAGGAAGAGGCCTCTTCTGGATATATCTCAGAAAGATGGCATCCAAACGGCCTATTCGCTATTTCAGAGTATCCCACACACTGAATAAAATAACCTGTATTGTCCTCTGACTGCCGGCACACAGAAATGTCTTATTTTTGCTTTTATAAGAAACGGACAGTGAGCTGAAACACCCAATTATTGTTACATATTTTGTGTGCTTCCTGTTGGTCTCCACCTACAGGTTTTCTGCCTCTCTTGTTCTTTTTCGGATTAGACATTCCTACTGCAACAGTGTTAGCTTGGATCCCCCATAAATCGCATTGGGGGCCACAGTTTTTCTGGAAAATTCCACCCCATGAGAAGAACCACGTTGTTTGGAGTACCATTTCAGTTTTGCCGCCGTCTTCAGGTGGCTGTGACATTCAGCATTTTGTTTCTCACAGGCAAGTTCTGTCATGTGTGCATACACATACATGTATGCACACACACATGCACACGCGCACACATCGCTGGCATCTGATGTGCTGAGAAGGCTCTGAACCCTACACTGTGGGATGGGGCCCGGGCATGGTGACAGAACTGCTTCTGGACCTTTCACGAGGATGACCACTGTGCATGGTGTGGCAGATTCCAGACACCGCCAACCCATCGGTGATGGATGCTTACATTAATTTCTAAGGCCTCAGGCAAAATTGTGCAAAACGGATGGCAGCCCCCGGACGCCCTGGTCAAGTGTGTAGTTAGTTGTTGGGCTCACACGCCATGAGCGTGCTCTAAATCCAGGTTCACTGACGCACCAGTCCCGCCAGGCTTCTCTTCCAGAAATGGTTCTCCTCGGGAATCTGCTCATTCCCAGAAGCCAAGCCCCTGGTCACTGTTCTCCTGCTGAAAAGACATTCCTTCTCTCCGAGGCTGTCTGTGCTTCCCTGCCTGTCCTTGCCTTCTTTCTCGGGCTCCTGGCCTTCTGCTAATCCCTCAGTGCCAGTGAGCCTCAGCCGTGCTCCCCACATACTTCCTAGGCAACTTCACCTTGACCTTGACCATGGCTGCCAGCTCGATGCTGACAGCCCCTGAACTTGAGCCCGGGTTCCGACTTCTCCCTGGAGCCCAGGATCTACAGGCTTTTTGGATGCCACCTGCAGTGCCAGCAACCCCATATGAGTGCCGGTTTGAGTCTCAGCTGCCCCCCTTCCAATCCAGCTCTCGGCTATGGCCTGGAAAAGCAGTGGAAGATGGCCCAAGTGCATGGGCCCCTGAAGAAACTCCTGGCTCCTGGCTTTGGATTGGCTCAGCTCTGGCCATTTGAGCCATTTGGGGAGTGAACCAGCGGACGGAAGATCTCTCTCTCTCTCTAACTCTGCCTATCTGTAACTCTGTCTTTCAAATAAATAAATAAATCTTAAAAAAAAAAAGAATGAATTCACTGCCAGGGCATGTGATAAAAGTGGGAGCAAGAAATGGTTCCTATAAAGTCTCCCTGTGAGCTGTCTGCAGATCATTGTGAGAAGGGCCGTGAAGTATAGGACTGTCAAGTTCACATGCAAGGAAGACAATCAATCATCAATCAATCCCTGTTGACTGATTAACCACCAAAGCAAAGCACTCCTGTGTTTTCAGAGCCAACTCCACTGACTGCAGTGAATCACATCCATTCTTTTTGCCAACTCTTTTGAAACCGAAGTGGGGGGACCATCATGGAAACAACCTTGGAGACAGAGGGTCTTCTCTGAGTCCTGGCCGCTCGACCTACTGGCTGTGTGGCCTGGAACGCGCTTCCTCACTGTCAAACGGGGGGGATGGGGTGGGGGTGCAGGCCGCGGTAGGAAGTGGATGGCCAGGAGGCCTGGCAGAGGCCTTGTGAGTCCCCGCCCCTGACCGCCACGCCCCCCGCCGCCCCGCCCCGTCCCGCTGGGTGAAGTGCCTGACCCTGCACGCAGTGCCACGCTGGCCTTCCCTCCAGGGCGACTTCGGAGCTGGGAAGAGCGGCTGCAGAAAGGGACACGCGAAAAGGGACGGTGAGGCCCGAGGGGCCCTGGCTAACATCGTGCTGCTTCACACGCCACCCACGGGTTCCTTCGTACTCACTGACTCCTGGCATTTGTGAGCGGCTGTGAGCGAATGGTCCATTGTGAGCGAATGGACCCCTCCACCCCCTTCCAAACCCTGCTGTGGGGGCCGAGTCTCTGGAATTCCTGAGCCTGCGAGGGCACCCCCCCCGGAACCCCCAGGGAGTGGTCAAGAGCAGGTGTCTGGAGGGGGCCGGGGTGCCAGCCCCCCTGCAGGGCAGCAGGAAGGAGAGATGGAGAAGTGGGAAGGGTGAGGCAAGAAGAAAAGGAAAAATCTGCAAGCCAGAGGCTGGCTCTCCATCCCCTTCTGGAGAAATCTTAGGAGAATTGTGAATGCTAACTTGGCCTTCCAGGTTTGCGGAATAGGAGAAACCGCCTACCTTTATTACTATATGGCCCAGTTCCCAGTTGGCGACTTGTCTCTCTTTAAAAAAAAAAAGTTTTAGACTTGTTGCCCAGATGGGCGGAGCTCAGGGCGGGGTGTTCTTGTTGACCAGCACTCCCTGCCCCCACTCTTCTGGGTGAGAGCCAACGAGCAGCTTGGACACATGAGGAGCCTTCTTCCGAAAGCCTTCCTGGAGGGCCACAGCAGCGGTGGGCTCAACCTGCAGGGCGGCGCACGCCCAGCCCCGGAGTCACCGCAGTCACCGCTGGGCCCGGCTGCCCGGAGGATTAGGGGTTGCGCTGGGCACGGCCGAGGCCGAGGCGGAGCCACCTACAGGCCTCCCGCGTGTCTGGCCACTGAGCCTAGGCTGGAGACACCTGTATGCCAGCCGGTATGCGGCGATTCCTCGCCCTAAGAGACTACGCGTCACATCCGGCCCCTCGCGGGCACCAGAACAGACAGGACTGCCTGCCCGCCCGGCGGGTCCCGGCCCCCGGGTCCCCCTGAAGGGTGCCTCCCGCACAGCCCGCGGGCTGACCTGATGCCGTCCCGCTGCCGTGCGACCGTGGGACGCGGCTCCGGCTCCTGCCGCCCGGCCGCCGACGCCGACCCCCGGGTGCAGAAGCCGGCAGGGAGAGGGGCGCACGGGCCGCGCCGAAGCCAGCCAGGCACCTGCGCCCGCAAGAGCCGCAGGGCCGCGACGGCCGCCATGGCGCCCAGAGACCGCCCGATCCCGACCTCCGGGCGCTCCGAGGGCGCTGCTTCGAGATAGACCGGGCCGCAGAGCTCGCTTCCGGTCGGGGAAGGACACTGGTGGGTGGCCAGGGGGCCTGGCCGAGGCCTCGCGAGTCCCCGCCCCTGCCGCCACGCCCCTCCCGGGAGCCACGCCCCTCCCGGCCGCCACGCCCCCCTGCTGTGGTTAAGGTCGTGGACCGGAAAACCCCAAGGCCAGCTTGGCGGTTGTGTTTGGGTTAGGGAGGCCTGTGAAGAGTGAGGGAGGAGAGAAGTGGTTGATTTGTTTATCTGCGTTGGTCGTTAACTACAGTCTGTTTCAGCCATCAGGGAAGAGCATACTGTAGGATGTAGGATTGTGTCCCCTAGCGATGCAGCGACATTCTTACTTAAGTACGCTCGGTGATGTTCGCACCGTGATGAAGTCGCCTGGCCCATGTATTTCTCAGAAGTGTCCCCGTCGTTTAGCAACACGTGACTGTGCATCCCATGCCTGTACTGACCCAGCATCTGGAGTGCTGAGGGAGACGTGGACTACCTGGCCTCAGCCCTTAGGGTCTCTTTGTCCGCAGGTGAAATGCCATCCCCAAGATCCTGGGCCGTTTCCCTCCGCGTAGTTTGGCATGGATAACAAATGTAGAAAGGGGGCTTCTCAAATGGAGCCATGGCTCACAATAACCACATGTGGGTTCCTTTGACGGAGGTCTCTAAGTCTCAGCCTCACAGCTAGACAAAGCACCTGCATATAGGGCAGTGTTTGGAAACACCAATTGAGGCTCTCTCTGCAACCCACTCCTTTGGTCCTGGTTCCACTCGGGAAGAGAGGATCCACAACAGAACTCAGATAACTGAGTAGGGACAAGCTTTTGAGTTTTCCAAGCTTGGCATTTGGGAGGTGGAAAGACGCGAAACCGTTGGCAGTTTGGGACGACTGTCGGAGTCGCAGCAAGGTTTGCAGCCTGAGGCAAGGCTAAGACTGCTCAGGTTTGGGGGCAGCAAGTGGGGAAGCAGGGTTTGCAGCAAAAGCAAGGAGCCAGCTGTGGTGGGGGTTTGGGAGGACAAGTTCTGGCTTTGGTGTGACCCAGCCCTGGCTGTTATGGGCATTTGAGGAGTGAACCACTGGAAGGAGAATCTCTCTCTGTCTCTGCGCCTTCAAATAAAATGATAATAAATAAATAAAAAGGTTAAAGTTGCCCTTCAAGGAACTCCTCCACCCCATACTCTCTCTCTCTCCACACAGACACACACACAGTGGATGCCCTCAGCACATTTATGCTTTTTTTTTTCTTTCTTTACATAGAGGCTAACTGGGTAGGTATGGTGACCCCTGGTGAGAGAGCTCTGGCCAGCCTTGCTTGTAGTTAGCACAGTAGTCAGGGAGTGAGGCCTGGGCTGAGGCTCAGCTGAGGGCGGTGCTGCAAGTGGACACGCCCATCCTCCTCTGACTTGCTGCACCTGCTCTCCCCTCATTTCTCTCAGAGCCTGTAGTCCTGCATTACAAGTAGTGAGCGGGCCCAGAGGGAAGTGGAGCTTCCAGGCAGGGGTTGACAGAACTTGCTACAATACTCCTTCTTCCTTCAGCGGGGCGAGAACCTTTTCACATTTGGGCTGCTCCTCCAGGCCTCTGCCTCTCCTTGATTTTTGGAGGGGCCGCTTTCTCGTCTGTTCTGTGCCCTTCTAACGTATTCTCCACACTGGCCTTCGCCCTGACCCCGTTTACTCTGCAGCCTGCTGGCAGGCTTCTCTCTGGCTTTGATTTCTGGGTCCCTGTACCATGCGGCTCTGCTGGCCAGGTGTGTCTGTGCCGCCTGTTACAGGTCTTTTTCGGACCCACGGAGGCTGGGCAGAGCGTTGCAGAAGTGATGGCAGAATGAAAAGACTTCCAGGGAGCTTGAGCCCCGGGCTTGATGCAGGTTTAACCTTTCTTGGGCTGCAGAGACAGAAAAGTGAAAGGCATACTTTCAGCTCCTTATGAAGAGTTTTTTTTTTTTTTAAGATTTATGTATTTATTTGAAAGGCAGAGTTACAGAGAGGCAGAGGGAGAGTGAGGGAGAGAGTGAGAGTCTTCCATTCACTGGTTCACTCTCTAAATGGCCGCAATGGCCGTGACTTGGGCTGATTTGAAGCAAGGAACCAAGTCTCCCACACAGATGCAGGGGCCCAAGCACTTGAGCCATCCTCTACTGCTTTCCCAGGCCTCAGCAGAGAGCTGGATTGGAAGTAGACTGCCAGGACTCGAACCAGTGTCCATGTGTGATGCTGGCACTGCTGGTGGCTTTACCTGCTACGCCACAGCACCAGCCCCTTCACAACATTTTGAGCTTGAGAAGTTTAAGGTTTGTAATAGTAACCATGATAGAGACCTTCTGGGGGGTGTGGAATTGCTTGGAGAGGAATGTCGCTGATGTCAAGGAAGTACAGCCACATAGAGGCTTACAGAGCCATGTCACTGTCACCACTCATGGCCCTTGGAGGGGAGGGTGGGAGAGATCAGAGTCCAAGCAGTGCTGGAAAGCCGGGACAGGGGCACCCACTCCTCCTTGTCTTGTGCACCTCCCTTGTCTCAGCTTGGCCACGCCCACCTCATCTCCTCTGACTACAATCCTGCAGCACCAAGCACAAAGTGTGTGGAAGTTCAAGAACAAGGCAAACACCATGGGCCTTCTGGCCTGGCCCAGATCTGTTTCCAGCCAAAGGACAGTCCTCCATGCAGAGCGAGCTTTGTTGGAACATTCCAGAAGGCCTCGGCCAAGGAGCCAAATGGTGGTAGTGGGCGGAGGGGGGGGACCAGAGGGGGTGCTGAGAGATGACTTCCTGCTTGCTCAGCAGGAGGAAGGGATTGGGGGTGGGTGGGTGGGTTTAGCTCTTGAAATTTACTAGGTTACCAGGTGGGTGACCTCAGCCAGCTACCTCTGAGCCCATTCCCTCATCTGTCCAGTGGGGAATCAGTACTTGCCCCCAACCCTAAAATATTTACTGAGTGTACCACATGCCAGGCATTGGGGTAGGGCAGAGAACAAAGCCTCCCAGAGGGCCAGGAGTCTCTGGCAGATTGGATGTGGGATGGGAGAGAAGCAGCGGGGATGACTCTGAGTACTGTGGCCACAGTTGCCCTGCTTATTATACAATGTGAGAAATCACATCAACCACTGGGCTCACCTCCTGCCTGCACCACTCTGTGACCTTGAACATTCTACTCAACTTCTCTGTCTCACTCTATTTGCTGACCAAATGGTGATACTAACACTACCCACCTCTTGAGTGAGTTGGCACATGTAAAGAGCTTAGAATAGCACCTACTTGGAGCAAGCCGTATAAAAATGTTTGTTATGGGGGCCGGTGTTGTGGCATAGTGGGTTAAGCCACCACATCTGATGCCAGCATCCCATATAGAAACCAATTCCAGTCCTGGCTGTTCCACTTCCAATTCAGCTCCCTGCTAATGCACCTGGGGAAGCAGCAGGAGATGGCCCAAGTGCTTGGACTCCTGCACCCATGCGGAAGACCTGGAAGAAGCCCAACATCATGGGAGAGGATGGGACCTCATATCAATAGCTCGGGACAAGATCAAAATAGAAAAATCAAGCTGTGGGTTCTATCTACTGAATGTGTATAACTTTTGCACCACAGTACAGCTGAAAAACCATGATTGATGATTCATCAGGCAGTGTGCCGCTGCCTGTGTCTATCATGTGAGCGTGGCACACATAGAAACTCAGCCAATGGTTAGCAGCTCTTATTATGATAGGACATAACTTAATACCGCACCAAAGTAGGTGGGGTTCTTTGAAGTGAATTCCACTTGCGTTTCTGTGTTTCTCTCCTAGCGGGTGCTGCGTGGGCTCTGCGTATCTATATGGTGCTTTTTCTTCCTCTCAATGCCACCTCGGCACCCCGCGTGGGACCTCACCGCCTTGCACCCCACCCCCCGCCGGTATCTTTCTCTTCCATTCCCCAGGAACACGGCGCTGTGTCAGCAGTCGGAGTGTGGCCGTCCAGAGGAACCACTGCTTCTGACTGCTGTTCTCACTCCTTCCTGGGTCTCGTCCTTGCTCCCTGAAGTCCAGCTGTCACAATCCGAATGCCTCCTGGGCCCTCACCCCACCTTCCTTCCACTTGGTCAGCAGCGTTGCCTTCTGGCTAGCCACGCAGGTGCAAAGCATCCGTGTTTCCCAGAATGCCTTTCTCCTCCCTGGCTTTCCCCGGCTCTGAACTTGAGTGAGGTTTTCTCCCAACCTACCTACCGACCACTCTTGCCTCTCAAGCCTCCCTTGCAGACCCCATTAGGACAACTGCAATTGCCTCCTAATTTGGCCTTCCCTCCTCTCCTCTCTAAAGCCTGCTGTGGCCAGGTTAACCTTTAGGGAGTAATTCTGCTGCCCCAGTGACAGCCACTTTGTCACAGTCACCAGCACCGTCTCTCCTGATGGCTGCAAAGGTCTCAGAACTGGTGTCCCAGACACACCTGGGCTGTCCTCTGATGCACCTCATGCTGTGCCCAGGGTGAGGTTTGTGCTTCTGGACGGAATCCAATTGTTCCCGGCTCCCCGCAGCTCCTATGCCCTCGGCCCATTTCTCCGGTGGGTGAGGCCAGCACGGTCTAGTTCCTATTTCCCTCTGGGCACCACGCCAGCTTTTCTAGTCCCTCTGTTTTCAGCTTTATTGCAGTATAATTGACAAACAAAAACCATATATGTTTGAAGTAGACAGCATGATATTTTGATAGCCATTGTGAATGCATCGCCCAAATCAAGGTAATTCACATATCCACATATCCGAGTTATCATTTTGAAAAAAAATTTATTATTTATTTACGATGCAGAGAGTGTGCTCACTCCCGTCTGCTGGTTTATTCCCCAAATGCCGAGAACAGCTGGGGGTGGGGAGGGGCCACAGCCAGGAGCTGGGATCTCAATCCAGGTCTTTCACGAGGATGGCAGAAACCCAACTGCTTGAGCTATTACCGCTGCCTTCTGGGGAATGCATTAGCAGGAAGCTGGGGTCAGGAACCGGAGCTGGCTGTTGAGCCCATTCATCCTGATGTGGGCCAAATGCCCGCTCCCCGTTACCATTGTTTGTGTGCTAGCAGAA